GGGGGGGGTCATGGGGTGACGGCAGACACAGCAGTAGAACAAGAGCTCTGCAAAGATGTGCTGTCCACGTAGAACTTAATATCCACAAGACCAGCTTTGCAGGAAGGCTTTTAGAAAAATCTTTAACATTTTTCCTCTCCAATTCTCACCAATCTTTACCTGTTTTCTATAAAGAGAAATAAATTGAGGACCCAGTTATCTCTCAGTTAGTGTTTATTTGATCTCAAGATATATAGTGCTGTGAGGTAGCATCTGTGGCCTGAATAAGAAACAGGAAATGGCTCAAAGGGCCAACTTCACTCTTATTTAATCTTTTAATTGCTGAACCCAATTTGTTCTCTTCAATTCTGTCTGGGTTTATGAGCCGAGGCATTTAGCTGAGTTGTTGAGCCACGCCACTGCTATAATAGCCATAGCTATCACTTTGAGTATGTCTCGTGTGCCAGGCGAGGTCCTGTGAACTTCGTCAAGGTTAATTCATAAACAACCTGACAATGAGGTACTGTTTTTATTCCCATTTTTCAAATGGGAAAATTGAGGTGTGACAAGATTGAAACGTGCCTTAAGTCATGGTGGTTCCAGAGTCCATGCTGTCAAATCCCATTTTAAGGCCTCTACCTTACTGCCTCCCCTTTAGGTCAAGGTCCACACTGACCAGAATGCAAAACAGTTCAATCCTCAGTTACTTGCAAATTCTACCTACTGGGCGCTTCTTATAATGAGGCTCATTCTCTGGGTTTAAAGGCTGAGGAGGAAGTAGTCTGGGATGGTTATTGGACCTTTGGGATTACCTGATTACTCAGATCTGGAAGTTGATGACTTTGTCAAATATATACCCATGTCCTGCTTTAGGTATAATGTAGAAGAGGCCAACCAAGGTGCTGAGAAGGAAGGAAAGGTCCTGCCTAGGGAGGCTTCAGTGACTTAAAGGGGACTGTCTTCTTATTGACATCAATTTATAATTTGCCTCTCCACATCCTTCAAATTTAGAAAATTCTTATGTAGTAATGGAAAATATGAAAAGACCTACTCACTAGAGAAAAATGGAGAAGAATTCTACTTTTGGAGTCAGCTTCTTTGTACTGTGTTGTACTTCTCTGAACTTCAGTTTTCTCATTCGTAAAATGGGAATAAAAATGATGCCTTTCTCACAGGGATTTCTTTGAAAGGTTCAAATGACAGAATCTTTGGGTAGTGCTTAGCATGGCACTCAGCAGAGTTCATTGTACCTGTTGTACTCCTGCTACTTCTCTTTTTTTCTCTCTTGCTCAATGGCTATGTGGCCAAACCACCACCATCATCCCCACCATCATCATCATTATCATAGGTGTTATTACCCCTGACTGACTGACCCCTGGCATGTGTGAGATGCAGAACTTTATCAAAGGGCAGAAAGGGTCATGGGAGGTGGATGGGGGCCTGTGTTTGATCCCAGGCACCACTACTTGCAATGACACATCCTTGAAAAAAGCACTCAAACTTTCTGAGTCTCCTTAAAAAAAAAGTCATAAGATTAGCCTGAATGATTATAATCACATGTATGAATGAAATAACATAGAGAACACTAGACCTCCAAGGGTGTCAACCTTCTCCCAGCAGGAATGTAGCTGGCTCACGAATCCAGTATCTACAGATATCCATTAAGGGCATAGTTGAAGCCAAAATAGACCCAGAAAACCCAAAGCCTTGGTGCCAATGAATGTTTATCAGATTGGCATTTCTGTCCCTAGCCCCTATCCTATTGGCTGAATTCTCACAGTGAGTGAGAAAGAGCTTGGGACTTAGTATTTGGAAGTTTTTACTATTAACACTAAGTTCGATGTCATAGAGATTTCAGCTGGAGGCCTCTTCACCTCATACTGACGCATAGTCATTTATACCATTCATTCAGGTTGGGTGCCATTCATTCACTGACGACTCCCCTCAACTTTCTACCTATTTCTCTTGTTGGTTTCAGCTCCGTCTGAGATCACTTTTGCCATTGATGTTGGGAATGGCCCTGTAGAGCTCATAGTTCACTCTCCTTCTCTTCTGAATGACAACCAATGGCATTATGTCCGGGCTGAAAGGAACCTCAAGGAGACTTCACTCCAGGTGGACAGCCTCCCAAGGATGACCAGGGAGACTTCGGAGGAGGGCCACTTCCGATTGCAGCTGAACAGCCAGCTCTTTGTAGGTAAGAGACATTTTGAGGCCCCTCTGTGCTAAAACCCTCCAAGATCTCTGCATGACCAGGCCCAAGGAAAATTACGATTTCGCTTCAGACCTAAGTAATGATTAAAATATATCCTAAAGCACTTGTAATTGTAAATGTGATTTTATAAATCCTTCTTTTCTAGCTTCATGAGCCACAGAAATAAGAGATTATGCCACCCCTTAGCAAATTTTGAGGTGGTCTCAGACTCTTTCTATCTTTCTTCCTTGTGCATATTATCTTCAAGTGTCTGAGGAATCCTATTGTTTTTCATTCTTACGGTCAAAATCTACTCAGAGAAAAATAATATATCAGCTATTTACACTTCAGTAGATGTTGTCTCTAAGTCCGTGAGCCACCCTTCACCCTTCCTAGTGATACGTGACTCCTGATTACTGTTGATAACTATGCAGTGAAACATGTTACAGCATCTCAGAGGGATGTGTCACCAGGCTTATGGTGGGGGAAGGGACTATTGTTTACCACGGGCTTCTTTGATACTCCCTGAAACAACATCATGAAGGTGGTTGCCTTACACTTGCACAGGAAAGCAGGCCTGGTTCCCGAGCTGACATCTCACCACTGGTCAGTCCCTCCTGAGACTCACAATCAGCCTCTAGATAGGTTATTCATCCAAACTGATCGCCAGTGCTGACACCAAGGACTGGAAAGCCTCAAATGTCACTTATTGAGTCCACTCATTCATTCATTCCTTCATTCATTCCATAAATAGTCACTGAGCACTGAAAACAGGTCAGGTACCTTGTTAGATGATGGGAATTGAAAAATAAATTGTGAGATGACATTACTTTGCAAAGAGCTATGTGTGTGTGCCACTGTGTATGTGTAAGAAAAAGAGACCGAGAGACAAAGACAGGAAGAGAATTTAGCCACATGAATCCAAGTAGGAAACGTCAGCCTGTTTGCTATAATTTAGAAATGACTTTTTGAAAGTAGGTGGAACAGGGCTTGTAAAGCTTTAAAGTACAAAATGCAGCTGTAAATATTAGGTTTATTGTAATATTATCAAAGATAAGAAGCCGCTCTTGTATAAAACTTGAAGTTCAGATGCTTAGAAAACTGATATAAATAAGTCCCAAAATGTGCTAGTCAACCCAGATTTAATTTTCTTTCCTTATTCATTTTTTAGCCAAGGCTCACACTACATAGCTTTACTACTAGTAATGAAATGTCATCAGCAATCAATGGGTATTTCTTACCTCTTTCCTTACATTGGGTTTTTGCAACTTTTAACTCTGACAAAAGCAGTCACTAAAAGCACACCAGCTAAAAGAAAAAAAAGTAACAAAATATGTCATATTTTCCCTTCTCAAGAGGAATCATATTTCTTTCTTCATCTGTCATGTTTTACTGCTCTAGCAGAAGCTATGATATAAGTGATTAAAAGCATTTTTATGATTATAAGGCATTTACGTAATTAATAACCTACATGAGTGATATGCTTTACTCTTAAAATATTTTTGAAAATTTATATTGCTGCTTTAATTCTATTTAAACATCACATTTCATTTCTCTGAAGAAGTTTGCTAGTCATCAAGATTTAATGTCTTTTTTGGTGAAATCAATTCAAGTAGTTTGTAATTTTCATAAATTATATTCCATGCCAAAGTTTAATTTATCTTCAGGCAGTATTTATGAATCTTTCTGGAGGAAAGGTGTATATAAAGATGGAACAATATTTTTTATCCTTTCATGCAAATTTCATGTCATTATGAAATTATCATATGACCTGCATATGTGATAAACTTTGTACAAGTCAAAAAGGGAAAAGACGCAGCTGTGTTTCCTGGCAGGTGTTTATCTCAAGACGTTTCAGTTGAATTGATCACAAGGGCAGGGAGTTGTAGGAGCATGTCAATGGCTCTGGAGGACATTCCTTGCTTGAGCTGAAGCCAAGGTCAGCTGTGGTGAGAGCGCCTGTTTCTGTTATGTTTCTCTCCAATAAGTTCCATCTCAGATGTTACTCTGCTTTATTGAATTTGTCTTAATGTACTTGAAGAAGAAAAAAAAATGCACACTGTTGGAGGTCACTTTAGTCTGTTGGTTTGCATTCTGTTGTTTAGTATACAGCAGTGTGCCCATTTAGAAATGTATCCGATAGCCAAAAATGCTGAAGTCCCAGTGTTTCTATTTTGTGTAATTCAGTGGTTCAAAAACAAAAACAAAACCCCCCTGCTTAGCTCTAGCCATCAAAATGAAGAGTTGCATTCCCTGTCATTCAGAAACCTAGAGACACCAGATATTTATATTTGCTAGGGAGAAAAAAGAGATCATTGGTGGGTACTTCTTCATAGGGATAGGTTGAAGGTAGCCGTACTTAAGTATTCATTTGGACATGTCTGTCTGCATACCTTTGGCCATGAAAGGATCTTTCAATCAAAACAGAGCATCGGTCAGCATTGTAATCCCTGGTATTGAGCTGTGCTCCCGAGTGCTTACTGAGTATCAGAAACAGCTTGAATTTTATAGAATAGGATGTACCTCCTCGCACTGCCCCTGTCATTGGAATGGGACAACTTAAAGTGCTCATACATGAGTCAATGCATGCTCGATTACTGGAATCAGTAATTTTATCTTCAGACTTTTATCACCATGATGGTTAAGGACACTGGCAGCCATGTCATCCGACTGGTCACATTTTTTGTGACAGAGCAGGAGAAACTTCATAGCACATGGATTCTGAAATGTATGCTGTGAGCATGTCATTGTCACATCGTGGAAACTCCCGGAGGTTTCACCCCTCTGCTTGCTGTTCTCTACGAATGTGCCAGTCAGTGTGCAGATGACACAAGAGGACTCCAAGAACTAGTACTTGCTGTGGAAAGTCAAATGGAGACATATGGGTGTACCCCAGGTCAATTGCCAATAGGCCACAGGACCTGGGTAGAAAAACACTAGCCTCGTTATGCCCGTTTGTCTTTATCTCCAGAATGGAAACAAAGCATCTGGTAACTGATCCCTCAGGATTCGAGGATATGTGATTTCCATTATTTATATTAAGAATGTAATCATCCTTATCCTCATTCTCCCCAAATCGGATATTGTGTCTTTCCAGATTTGCTGCAATTATAGAATAGACATTTCTTAAAGATATGGGCCTGTGTGGCTCATTTTCATGTGATTTTACTGCCTTCTTTTTTTTTTTTTTTTTTTTTTTTTTTTTTTTTTTTTTTTCTCTTTCATGGACTTTTGTTTTGGAGTTGTTTGTTGTTGTTGCTTTTAATATGAAATTTATTGTCAAATTGGTTTCCATACAACACCCAGTGCTCATCCCAACTGGTGCCCTCCTCAATGCCCATCACCCACTTTCCCCTCCCTCCTACCCCCCATCAACCCTCAGTTTATTCTCAGTTTTTAAGAGTCTCTTATGGTTTGCCTCCCTCCCTCTCTAACCTTTTTTCCCTTCCCCTCCCCCAGGTCTTCTGTTAAGTTCTCAGGATCCACATAAGAGTGAAAATATATGATATCTGTCTTTCTCTATATGACTTATTTCACTTAGCATAACACTCTCCAGTTCCATCCACGTTGCTACAAAAGGCCATATTTCATTCTTTCTCAATACCAAGTAGTATTCCATTGTGTATGTAAACCACAATTTCTTTATCCATTCATCAGTTGATGGACATTTAGGTTCTTTCCATAATTTGGCTATTGTTCCAAGTGCTGCTATAAACATTGGGGTATAAGTGCCCCTATGCATCA